TTTCAATCTCTTGCTCTTTCATTTTCAATCTCTTGCTCCCCACCCCACTGTCTTTGTCGTCGATTAAATTTTTTTCGTGCAAAGGAAAGAGATTGAGTTGTTGAGAATTCTGATGATCATGAGTGCTAGCGGGGGATACCGGCATATGATTTGACGGTTGAGATTTTTTAGTCCTAAATTTGTACATGTTTTACTATTGTTATTTGCAATAGGAAGGTGTTGATTTACTGATGTTAGAGAACCAGTTTAACTTTATTTAAATTAAATAAGAGATCAGCCACTTTAATCTTCATAAATTGTTAGAATTTTATAGTTAACTAGTATATATGCTCGTGCTCGCGCGGGCGTAAAATAAACTAAAACATATTTAGTTATTTGTGTAAAATAAATCAAAACATACTTAGTTATTAATATCATAATATTTGTATAAAATATTAATTTCACTTATCAAACTTCTTCTAACATCTATTAATTAATATTAGTTCTTCTTTTCACATATATTTTTACCAGAAAACACAACGTTCCAACTAAGCGTGAAACAACCTATTTTTATCAGAATATGTTAACTTAAATAAGAAAAATAAAACTGACATAAAGAAGGGATAAGAAAAATAAAAAATAAAGCTAATGAGAAAGAGAAAAGAAAAAATAATGTAAAAATTTAAGGATGTAAACGTAAGTCGCCTGCATTTTTTCCTTCCTCCTTTTTCCTGCATTAAAAAGGGAAGAGAGCTAAAAATAAAATAAAATAAAAAAAGAAGTGGAAAAAAGAAGAAAAAAAATCATTAAATATATCTTGTTCTTTAAGGTCTTTCTCTTCTTCTTTCCTTTACTTGATTTTATTCCTTTTTATTTCTATCTCCTATTTATATCTTAGTTATTTTTTGATACTAAATAGTGTGATTGTCTTGTGAAATGTACTTTCATCTTAGAAGCATAACGAATGAAAATAATTTAATGCCTTACTTATAATAATATTAATAGAGTAAGATCAGGCAGGCTATAAAATAATTTATTTTTCTTGTATTATTTTAAGATTGTCATTATTAAGTGATGAACATATATATATTAGATCGATGACAAGAGAATGATGATTAAATTAAGATGTTAACGACCAAATTTCCCATATACTAATTATTGAAAAGAAAAGAAAAAAATAATAATTGAAAGAAACGAAAAGGGGAAATAAATTTTGACTTCCATCTTATTTCTTTTCTATTCTATTATCTTCTTCTTTCCTTTTTTTTTCTCTTTTGATTTTTATTTTTAAAAAATATCCAAGAAGGATCTCTATTGCTAGCTGCTGCCCCTGTAAGAAGGATCTCTAGCTCATCCAAGAAGTTCACAAAAGTTAATTAGCGAAGAAAAGATAATTTTTCTAAACCTAATGTAAATAAGAAAAAAATTAATAAACTAAATTTTATTTGATTTTGATATTCTAAATATTTGGGGAATCACCAAAATAACAATATTATCCGATGTCAAATTATGTTTTAAGGGGAAAAAAGACACAATATTTCGTTAAAGGTCTTCGTACTTTTAAAATAGTATAGATAAAATCACGTGTCCAAAGGTGAACAAAGCCCTAGTTTCTAGAGTTGTTGCTTTTCTTGAGCTGGAGAATGGCTTATACTGCTCGTCTTTGTTTGATATGTTCATTCAATACTAATACAAACTAAAACTAAACCAAAGTGAAAGGGCCATTATAAAAGCTAGAAGTAGCTAGCCTATAGTAGTCGTCGTAACCAAAACCTCACGACAACATAAAATTAACCATATGAATTGGGAGAAATTCAAAAATAGTCAGATTTACAAGTGGTCATTCAAAAATAGTCACAGTTTCAAAAGTAATAGAAATTTAGCCCCTTTTCATGTAAAGATAAATCTGAACAAAAACACTGTTCATAATTCGGAAAATACTCCAGCATAATATGCTGAAAGTTCATACACAGGTGCTCCAATCTCAAGTATATTATGCTGAAACTTTCCACGTGTTGGAGTTCCAGCATAATATGCTGGAAGTTCATACACACGTGCATCGATCTCCAGTATATTGTGCTGAAACTTTCCATGTTGCAGCAAAATAGTGATTATTTTTCAATGATTTTGCAAATAGCTATTTTTGAATGACCAGTCCGAAAATTGACTAGTCCGTGCTATTTTTACATATGAATTGAATCTTAAGTAGCGGGATTAGCCCGCCCGCCTACCAGAAAACATTTTACTCTATGTAGGATTTACCCTGTGAATCCAAATTTAATCGAACTCTAATGTGAATATCAAACACCGAATAAAAAAACAAAAAACAACAAATATCAAACCTCAACATCTTTGTGTGAAATACAGCGAAAGACTTTACATCATGCTATTAAATTGAGTGCTAGTTGGCTGCTGGAAATTATTTGGCGATGAGAGTGTCTAGTGGCAATTTAACTTGTCCAATCAACACTGGGATTTCACCTCTATTAACTCAATATATGTTTAATTCACCTTAAAAATCATATAAGAGTAGGAGTATTATTTAGAATTTAGAACTAAAAGTCGAACCATATTTTGTTAATTTAGACTCTCGTGGGAATATCTCACGTGGGAATACACTAGGTATGTAGTTGTATATTTCGATAATTTCGACCAAATATTTCCAAGCCTAAGTCATTTAAATTCTTCTAAAGTCAAACAAAAACCACATATTATGCACGTATATACATAGAAGGGCTAATGAAACTGGTTTTGGTCTACAGACCCCAAAAAAATTGAAGGGTGCCACTTCTTCATTGAACTATATCTTATCAACTCGACATTTTTTCTGGTTTCACTATAAAAGTTTTCAAAAAAAAAAAAAAAAAAAA